TTGGGGAGAGCACTGGGAGTCATAACTCCTGGGTTCTTTCCCCAGATCTATCCCTGGCTTACTGGGTACCCTGCATGTGACCCCATGTGTAATGATACACAGACCTGCAACCTCCCAGAGGGACATGACTCCACGTGGAAGACAAACTCAGACAAATGGAGCAACAGGGAGTAGCTCTTCAGAGCCATAGCAAAACAGTAATGCTGCCCTAGGGGTGGAGAGTTCAGGAGGATGTGCACCTGAAGCGTGAACGTGCACCACAATTCAGGAATACAGATGGCCACAAGCCCTTGCGTTCATTCCTAAATGCCCGTGCGCACCACACACTTCAAATGGGGATATACACATCATGGTGGTCAGGATGACAGCTGGAAGCTTAGAGAGGAGCCTAAAAAGTGTTTATGTGCTTCTAAGTGTACCCCCAAATGAGGACACTGGGAACTCAAATGTGGGCCCTTAAATTGAAATCTGGGCCCAGGCTTAGGGACTGAAACTATCCATCTCTCCTCTACTTACCAGAAATAGATTTTGTACTTCTTGCTGACAATTCTCCGATCCTTCCTGGACAAGTCTGACAGGTAGAGGAACATCTACAATGTAGACACAGAGGGAAGACAGAAGGAGAATTCATGAAGGAGAAGGAAACCTTTAGAAAGCCTGAATGCATTTTGAAGATCCAAGTGGATGGGTAAAGCTTGTCCTTTCCCCTGTGAGGAACCCTTGGGATTCCCTGAGGAAGCAAGCCCAGGACAGCCCCAAACAAAAGCTCAGAGGTTCTCTCTGGAAATAAGATGACAAAACAAAACAAACTTTAAAAATTGTTCTGAGTAGAATTACTTTCCACGCCATTCAAACCACGTTCCCTCTTGCAGATCATGGGTTAACTCATCCCTGCTGTAACCACAGATGTACTCTAAGAGCTGCCCCAAGGAATCATTTGATCAATCATAAGGACTGGGGACAAGAAGAGATGTTACTTAAATTCCTGATACAAGCTGTCGGTCACTTGGCTCCTTGTCTTCTCTGTATCCTCTATTGGCCTCCCTATCCCTACAGGCACGACCCAACCAACGTCTCAATGTCCACCATCAGCCACCTGCTTTCTTCTACCACTTCAACCCCTTCATTTGTTTTCCACCCTTTTAGGTTGCACCACCCTCCACCAAAGCAGTTTCCTAAATGAGGCTGTTCACTGTAGCCTGCACTAGCACTTGTTTTCAATCAGTGCTCTGGGGAAACGTTCTGGGTATCGGAGGATTATTAGATACAGTAAGTCACGTGAAGGCCATTCATCTGCCCTTGAAGAAACAGAGTCAAAGAGAGAGACGGCAACGAGCACGGATGGCTGGACCCATAGAGCAGATGCCCACATGCAACGCTTAGCACAAGGACGCAGCACCAGCCAGACCTTAGTGCGAATGACATTCTTGTCACTTTCAATTTCAGGCATGGTGTCAAAATCGCTCTCCTCCTCCACCGAGCTGTCCGTGTCAGAACCGTGGGGGGGCCCACGCTCGGGGGATGACAACTGCCGGCCGCCACTGGAGCTGGACTCGTCTGCAAATGAGGAAGGAAGGGTTCTTGTTAAAGGGTAAATCCTTCTGTACACAGAAACAAGGGCGCGTTCTCCATGCCAGGAGCAGGTTAGCAGCAGGTTGCTGCCATACCTGGGAATGCCCACAAAATTCTGGTCTAGGCTACAGGACACTTCCTAGCATTTTCCTGCTCACTCACTCTTTTTTCCATAACATTTGCTACTTCTAACCTGCGAGATGGGGAATCAGAGCCATACTAGCCAGTAAAGGCTGTGGCATGCTGTTCAGACCCAGCAGTGGCCTCTGAGAACTGCCTTGCAGATAGTTTGCGTGTCAAGCTGTCCTAAAATAAGTTTAAAAACAAAAAAGAGAAAAGAAAATGAAATCTAACAAAGGGAGAGTCAGCCCCCAGCCCTGGCGTGCTTCCTGAAGCAGATGGGAACATGGCTGGTCCCATGATCAGTATCACCTGCTGGGGGGGCCAGTTGAACCCCCCTGCACCTTGTGTTGTGTTTGCCCAGGTTGCGTGCCAGCTGTTTGCCCACATAGGCTCAGAGCAGCCATGTGGACCAAGCATCAAGATTGTGGCGGTTGAAGAGGCAAGAGAGAACGGGGTCAGGGTTTGCTAACTTGCTTGAGAATCTTAAGGGGCCCTTCTAAATTGCCCTGACATTCTTAAAGGACAGAAAGATAAGACTTCCTGCTCAAGCAGGAGTTCTTTTGACATGGATCTGGAGTTACATCTAGGTCAGAATAGATCCCAGAAGAAAGCCCTGACTCTACTCCACTTCTCAAACCCTCATGTTATTCCCTGCACCAGATAAGCACCTGCTTCTGCCTTTCTTTCCCAGCAGATACACCACATCTGCTGGCTGGAATCCGAGTACCAGCATCCTTAGTCCAGGGCTGAGCCAGGATAGCAGTCACACTAAACACGCAGAGCAGGAATTAAGAATTCCACACCGCTGAGCAAAAACAGAGCCACTCTCTTCCCCAACCTCAGTTCAAAGCCCTTGGGCTTTGAGGCCCCTTGGCCTGATCTATGCCAACATGCAGGAGACCCAGGCCTCTGTGTCTTGGTCCTGGAGGTGCAGAGCCTGGATAATCTTAGATAGCAGCGTGGCATTTCATTAGCACTCACCCCTCCAGGGCAACATGGACAGACTCAGCAGAAAGGGACTCATAGCCCAGCTCCTTGCAGGAGTTGCCTCTAGCTATAGATTCCCTTCCTTCAGCCCACTCATTGCTCTGTGTCCCTCCCCATCCCCACAAGCAGCGGGGTTATGTGGGCCCAGTCTCAGAATCAGCAGGCGGCCCGTGGGGCAGAGGCTCCTCTGTAGACAGTCTTGGGGCCATGCAGGGGTCCTCTAGCATACTGGCTCCTTCCCCCAGAAGCAGCTGCCCATGCAGCCCAGGTGCCAGGCTCTCAGGTTCCGGAGCGTTCCGTACCGATAGCTCCATAGCTGCTTCCCTCAGGAGTGCCAGTTGTGATGGGATGCGAGGAAGCCACCGTCCCAGATCCTGCGATGGATACAAACAAATGAAGAGCCCCTGAACCTGCCCCACCTCCCTGTACTACTTAATGTAAAAGCACACACCTCCTTCCCTGCCCACAGGACACACCACAAACCAGAGGTCTCTCCGCCGCAGAGAATCCATTAGGAACCACAAGCCAATGCCCATCATTCTGGTCACCTCCACATCAGAAGTTCGGCAAAGCCTAGGTCCCTTCCCTGTCCCCTCCATGCTCCAGTATTGCCAACTCTTGCAATTCTGTCATGAGTCTATTATAGCTGAAGTGTTCACGGACTGTCATGAATTTCTGCCTCCAGTCTCAGTTTTCCTCTCACCCAAAATGGCAGCTAATTTCCATGACGATCACTGGAAGAGCTACAGGTGCCCTTAGACCTCCATGTTCTTTTAGGTGAAAGCAAGGCTGCTCCCAGCAAAGATGGCAACCATCTCCCATTGCTAACACTGGGATGGCTTCCTAAGACAGAATCCAGCCACTCACACTGAGCTGAGGCAGGAAGAGCTGTCCCTCAGAAAACAGCCTTATCTGACTTCCCTCTCCGGCAAGGGAAGGGAGGGATGACCCAAGACTGCCAATTTAGCTAGCAAGGGGCAGAGGAAACAACTTAAAGAAAATCCATGAGGCTCTAAATCAGAAAGGAACAGTGACAAATACAAGCCAAGACTGAGAGCTTCCCCCTTCCCCCCTCATCTAATTTGCATAATGTGTAGAGGGTAAAGCTTTATGCAGATGAAATGACCTAATGAAGCCACATGTGGGCAGCAGCACAAATTTACGCTCACCAGTCACGCTGAATGGGTCAGTCACACCCATTCTTTGGCCAATCAGTGCGCAAAGCAAGGTGCATAGATTTTATCCTAATGCAGAGTCACCAGTATGTCTCCAAATACCATCACTAGATTTAAAGGCACATGACCTGTCTTCACACTGATAGGAGTGGCAAGAGATACTCCTCCTGTTCCGAACAGTCTAGCTTCTGGAGGTCGTCTTGAAAACCAAGCCAGGTTTTCTACCATAATATATGAGGGCCTGAAACGTGTCCTATAGTTTAAGGCCAGAAGGGAGCATGACCACCAGATGATATAGTGTGATCTTCTGTGTGCCACAGGCCACTAACACCACCCAGCTCCCACCCTCTAAACCCAACACCTGAAGTGAGACTGCAGTACTTTCAGGGGGACTATACTACAACGGGCCACATGGTGTACATGTGACAGGGTGCACTAAATCAGAAAGGAACAGTGACAAGTACAAGCCAAGACTGAGAGCTTCCCCCTTCCCCACTCATCTAATTTGCATAATGTGTCGAGGGTAAAGCTATATGCAGATGAAATGACCTAATGAAGCCACATGTGGGCAGCAGCACAAATTTACGCTCACCAGTCACGCTGAATGGGTCAGTCACACCCATTCTTTGGCCAATCAGTGCGCAAAGCAAGGTGCATAGATTTTATCCTAATGCAGAGTCACCAGTATGTCTCCAAATACCATCACTAGATTTAAAGGCACATGACCTGTCTTCACACTGATAGGAGTGGCAAGAGATACTCCTCCTGTTCCGAACAGTCTAGCTTCTGGAGGTCGTCTTGAAAACCAAGCCAGGTTTTCTACCATAATATATGAGGGCCTGAAACGTGTCCTATAGTTTAAGGCCAGAAGGGAGCATGACCACCAGATGATATAGTGTGATCTTCTGTGTGCCACAGGCCACTAACACCACCCAGCTCCCACCCTCTAAACCCAACACCTGAAGTGAGACTGCAGTACTTTCAGGGGGACTAGACTACAACGGGCCACATGGTGTATATGCGACAGGGTGCATAGGCACAAGAAACCTGTCAGCTCAAGGATACTTGACTGGCATAAGTTATTATAACATGATTGCTTTAGTGGTAAAGAAGCAGGCTGGCCACAGTATTTGTCCCAGGCAGGTATGATCCTGCCCAGGATATGCCTAGTCCCTGCCTTTGGGGGCTGCTCCCCTGCCCATTCCTGATCTGCTGCTGAGCAAGATGCCATCCTTTCTCCACAGACAGGAACAGTTTGCCAGCATTGCTTTTTGAGCAGACATCTTTCGTGGTTCCCGCGTGAAGAAGCATCTTTCTTGCCCTCCCTCTTATCTGGGGCCTTAAGACAGAGGCACTTTCTACTCCAGCCTCTCCTCAGTCATACAGGCTCACGACTCTCTAGGTTAGCCTGTGCTTTGAGCTTCCCACTTTCCATGTCTAGTTTATGGTAATTGATACTGTATATATAAGGCAGCGAGTCTTTGTGAAAGTTGGACGGGGTGGGGCTCCACCAGGTGTCGAGAGACAGCGCCAATGACCGCCTCAGCTGTAAATTCACTCACCCATTTCAGCCCCACTTCCTGGGGCAGAGGTGAGTCAGTGAAGCTGGCGATGCCAGTTTGCTTGGTGGCTAAGTGTTTGCTTTGCTGGGTGGGGTGCACTTTGTGACAGGATAGAGCAACTGGTTCCTCCAGCTCTCCTTTCCTGCAACAACGTGTGAGAGGGAGGAGGGGAAGGGAGGGACTGGAGGAGACAGACCAGCTCAGAAGGAAGGCACTGCAGAGCAAAAGTGAACAAGGACACAGACGGGACAGCAGGATAGGCAAGAGATGGGAAGGAAAGAGGAGAGACAGGAGACAAGCAGTGTGGACTGGGATACATGGCATTCTCAGGAGGGGGAGAGAGGAGTGAGGTGTAATCTGGGGAGCAGGGCTACAGAGAAGAATGGGAAATTCCACAGGGCAGGGGCAATTTGAGAGCAGGCCAGAGGGTGCCGGGGATTCTGAGTGACAGGGACCCCGAGGGCAGGGCATTCCAGAAAAGGGGGGGGGGGACCAGAATCCTTACTGTTTATGAACAGTGTAAACTTTCACAGTGCTGTGCAGACACACACTAATGACACAATGGGACCCAGATGAGGAAATGCAGAGGGATGAAGCGAGTCAGTGGGTAGCCAGGCTAAGACCTTAAGAACTCCAGCCTCCCACTCTTGCATTTGTTCCTCCAGGCTATGCTGCAGAGGAAAGCATGGGCTGGAGGCGGGGGAGAAGGAAGAGAAGAGATGCAGAAATGGAGTGTGAGGGGGTTGAACAAGGGCAGAGGCATAGCGGTAGGAGATAGGCAGGTAGTGCAGGGCATCTGAAGTGAGAGTAATGGGGGAAGGGCAGGTCATCCAGAGTGGAGGAGGAAACCTATGGATGAGAGAACAGACAGGCCGTTCCCAGAATAGGAGAGTGGGAGAGCAGCAAGTGGCTGAGTGAGGCTAAGGTCATGTCTGATCCCAGTCTTTTATCCAGAAGCCTCTCTCTCTCCCTGGAAGTCCAGTCTCAAAGGGTATGTCTACACTACCCCGCTAGTTCGAACTAGGGTGGTAATGTAGGCATACCGCACTTGCAAATGAAGCCCGGGATTTGAATTTCCCGGGCTTCATTTGCATAAGCCGGCCTGCGCCATTTTTAAATGCCGAGTGCGGACTAGCTAGCTATTCCGCACTATCTGTACGCCTCGTGGAACGAGGTGTACAGATAGTGTGGACTAGCAAGCCATTCCGCACTATCTAGCCCGTGCCGCGTGTAGCCGCGCGGCACGGGGTTCGAACAAGCCGGCATTTAAAAATGGCGCCGGCCGGCTTATGCAAATGAAGCCCGGGAAATTCAAATCCCGGGCTTCATTTGCAAGTGCGGTATGCCTACATTACCACCCTAGTTCAAACTAGGGTGGTAGTGTAGACATACCCAAAGTGCCTCCTTTGGGTTAAAGTCAGTGGTTCTCAACTCGTTTCAGTCCACGGACCACCAGGCCAATCAAAAAATTTTCGTGGACCACCTCCAGCACATGTAGCACAGGACAAATGACAGAGCAACTGCTCAACATGATGGCAGCAGCTACACTGTCAACTGCTCAGCACGATGGCAGCAGCTACACTGTCGCTCAGAGACTCAGACGGAAGTTACTGGCAACACAACGTGGTTGCATCCTAGGTGACGCTATGAATGATGCGCTGTGTGCTTGTGAACACAGCATAAAACAGCCTAATGGCGGCACCTGTTCACACCGTGAGACTTTGGACAATGTTCCTGTGGACCACCGAAAAAGTCACCATGGACCACCAATTGAGAACCACAGGGTTAAGTGCAGCTTCTGTAGCTCAGGGCCTGCTGGATGTGTCTGGAGCAGCATTTATCTTTCCCTCTCCTGTATGGAGGTGGTTGTGCACCAGCTGCTGTCAGCTACACCAAGTAGCTGCCTGCCCTGGAACAGCTAATCACTCTCCAGCAATCTGGCTCCAGCACAGGAAGCATAAGGAAATGTTACCCTAGATTTCACCTTCTGGCAAGACACCCCTTCACCCTGCTGAAGTTCTGACTTCTTATGCTCAATAAGAGAGTCCTTCTGCAATCATCTTGATGTCCTCTCCCAGGCCCTGGGCAGGCTCCATTCTGCCTCCCTGAATTTCACCTGGATATGGGCACTTTCATTCTCGACTCCTGGTTCTAGTGGCTAATGAGCTCCCCCCGTACTGTGTTCTACCATATTGCAGCAAAAGGTACCCCCTGCTGCAGAAATGTGCTCTAGAGCCTGAGTTTTCATATAGGACATTGTATTGCCTAGCTGTGAAGAGGAAATCTTCCAAAAAGGACCAGAGTTTAAGCAATGCAGCATGCAGTCAGCCATCAGTCTGAACTGTTATTTTGGAGAAGCGAATTGCCCCCGTTCATCTAAACTGACTAAATCAACTGGAATCCCTAATAATGCCAATTTACATTACATTGTTTTCTATTTCATTGTACAAAGCTGCCTTGCAGGACTATGCTTACCCAATTTACATTACATTGTTTTCTATTTCATTGTACTGTAAAAGCTGCCTTGCAGGACTACGCTTAGCCAGTGGTAAATATTAGAGTAGGGGAAAATGGAGCAGCTAGTCGCTGGGGTGCGACATTAAGTATTCAAGCTCCTCCCGTTGTCAAAAGGTAAATCATTTCCACCACTCGGACGGGAGGAGAGAGAGAAGAGATGCATTCTTTCCCTCATGCCCTCAAGCTTCAACTTCCTCCCAGGTACTAAGCAACCAGACATTGTCTCCCTTACCTCTCCAGGAACCAGAAACTGCCTCCTACACTAGAGTGACCAGATGTGACAGGGCATCTGCCCCGCCCTGACCCTTGGAGGGTTAAAACCCAGCCCTGAGTGAGGGCTGGAATGGTGGAGCCAGCAGCTGAGGCAGAGGCAGCCAATTAGGACCCAACAGGGGCTGTATCAATAAAGGCTCCTGGAGAGGCAGAGACAGACTCACTCTTGCTCTAGCTATTGAGCAGGAGGGACCTGACTGCTAGGGAATCTAGAGGCTTCCTGACTTACAGCAAGGCTGGGGAAAGGCAGGCAGAGCTGGGGAAGCTCTGGCTAGGGAAGCTCCCAGGTTGCAGGGAGGCAATTAGGATAGGCAAAGGCAGCAGGTCCACACCCGCTTGCCAATGTTGAGTGGCCATTTCTGACTGCAGTTTGCCCCGAGGCAAGGGCTAGATGGAGACTGGTAGTGGGTCATTGAAGCGAGGTGGGTGTAGAGGGTTAGGGGTTCCCTGAGCAGGAGGACCCTAGAGTGTGGGGGCACTGCAGCAGGGCAGTACCCAGAGGAGAGGGCACCACAGTCTAAGAGGGATGTGGGTCCTAACACAAGGTGGTGGAGAATAAAAGATAACAGCAGGTGTGACACCAGCTGAAAGGGGGCGCTCCAGGGCTGAAGAGCTGTTTCCCTGAGGGTACATCTACACAGCAGGGCAAAAGTCGAATTAAGCTACGCAACTTGAGTTAGGTCAGTTGCAAAGCTGAAGTCAAAATAAGCTTAATTTGGCTTTTGGCTCGGTCTACACAGCAGAAAGAACACTCTTCCTTCTTACTCCTCATAAAATGAGGGTTACAGGAGTTGGAGTAAGAAGTCCTCCAACTCAACAGGATTTCAAAATGAAGGCCGGCAGTGTAGACACGCACTATGTTACTTCAGAATAATGTCAGTTATTCCAAAATAACGCTGCTGTGTAGGCACAGCCTGAGTGACGAGCAGGAGGCACTGTGGTGGTGAGTCGCACCGTGTTATACCAGAACTCCCAATATTAGGGATTTTGTCTTAAATACACACTGATAGCCCCCCCCCAAAATAAGTGCCCCAATATATTACACTGATCAACCTATTCTAGACTAGGGATGTTAAAAGTTAAGCGGTGGGGGCTAGAGCCCCAGGCACAACCACCCCTTTCATAAGTTAACTGGTTAAACATCACATTTAACTGGTTAACCAATTAAATGGGATTTTACATCCCTACCCCTAAACCCGCCTGCCAAAGCTGCCATCTTCCCCTAACAACCTCTCTGATGCAATGATGCTTTTACAGCATAAACATTTGGAGCATGTTGAAATGTGAGTGTCATGTAAAATAAACTAAAGATAGTATCAAAGTAAACACCCAGAAGTGACGCTGTGCTAACTGGATTAGTCATTTGCTCCTTGAACTGTATAAACCCTGCCTTTTATAAAACATTTGGCCCAAAGCTTCAATTGGGCAGGACACCTTTCAATCCAAAAGGAACATTCCTGTGGCTAGCGTGAGCAACTAAATACACTTCCTTAGAAAGAAACAGGTGACTCAGCTGGGGAGTTAAGAACATTGATTTTGTGCATTTTCATCCTCACCCTCTAAATCTGTAAAACATAACTCGAGCTCCCACCAGCTCTAGCTTACTTGGAACCCTGTTTAAAATGGATATTGTATAGCCCCATCTGTGGCAGACAAGGGCCCGTCTCACAACACCAGCATGAACAGCACTGAGTGCACCACCGCTCCTCCAGCATCAGTCTTGAGGACCGAATGGCCTGTGTTCCCCTAGAACTGGTTCCTACAGAGCAGATTATCTAGAGAACTATGGAACTCCAGCATTAAAATGCACAATTTACAAAAAATCCTAGGCTGTAGTAGACAAGGAGGTTTGGAAGAGACTGAAGGGAGCTGTTTTGCATGTGCAGGGACCAGAGCACCACAGTATTCTCTACCCCTTGACATTGTTGCATAAATTTGAAAGATTTACCATCATCTGGACTGTATCTCTCAGTGGATGCCTTCCTCTGAATCCTGGGAAGGGGGGAAAAAAAGCAGAGACAAAACTTCTGAAAATGCAACAGATCAGTCACTATGCCAGTCTTGGCAGAATCATCTCAAAATGCAATGCTTTAGCAAACACATATCAACTTTTCAGCTGCCTGACTCACTGCAGGGCGAGGCCTGCCAGTCAAACAGTCAACGCAGAAGCTGCCAGTGGCATAGCCTGAAAGTCAGCCTTGTCCCACTGCTTCACTCACCTGACGTAGTGCACAAAGGCGACGATCAGCGAGACCAGGTAGAAGGAGAGGAAGCTCAGGAGACTGAAGAGCATGGCTTTCACGTAGTCAGACTCTGGGAGGAAGAGGAACAGGAGGAGGGTCAGCTTAGAGGAAAAAAATATTCCCCTCACAGCGAGCAGCTCTGCCCTGCTCACTACAGCGCCTCCTGCGGGAACAGACTGCGACTGAAATAGCTCTCCCACTGCCAGTGCCCCACTCTCCATGGATTCCTGACATTGCAAGTACCACCCTCCCCTCCTAGTCAGCACTTCCTCCCTGCCGGAAAAGGCTGGCGCTGGAATAATTAAGAACAATCCCTCAGCTGACACCATTATACTATTCCTTGCCGTGCCTTCTGCTCAGACTGAATTAGGTGGGAGCTCCCACAGATGGAGTGCCCTTGTACTATTCCTTAATACACCTCCTGGTAGGAGAAACCAAGAGTGGTGCACCTCGGAGCTCCCTAGCAATTCTGGATGGTTCCTCAGGGCGACATTAACCTTTAATGGAAGGTACAATGGTCACTTGTAGGCTCTTTGTTCGTTGTAGGTTCCAGGTGTGGTTGCCCTTTCCTGTAAGAAAAAAGGTGCCCTAGATGAGAAAACACATTATTTAACGCTGCTGGGACCAGTTCACCTGAGAAGTAACCCAGACCCAGCACCGTTCTCAGATGCAGGCATTTCCGTTTTCATGAGGTAAAAATCCTGGCACCACCATAATAATGAACAGCCATGTTGCCCCTTGCAATGAAGCCATATGGGAAGGTGTCTCAACTCTTGCTCTATCCACCACCTACAATTTTATGCTGGAAAATTCTGTGACACTGCTGAGGTTCAGTTGGCTACGCCTGAAGTGTATTTCATCACCACCATTCTGCCTCATAATCTATGGGAGTTTGCCCCCACTCTGCAATTGGTCTGCATCTACTAAGCTGTGGAATGCACCAGGAGACCAACATCCAGAGAAAAGCCATCAGGGGAGCTTCCATGTTAAAGATCTCTCACCACAAGACTTGCCCTGTATCTTTAGGCAAACATCTCCTGGCTCCCTCCAGAACTGTTATACAGAATGCCGTGTGCACGTCTGTGGCAGTGATAGGTGTAAAATGCTGCACAATGGACAGAGCTCTGCAAACCATAAAATACTGCAAGGAGTCACACACAAGGGTCCGAACACCTGCTCCAGGTGGAGAAAATCCTGGCTACCCGAGCAGCCCGTTGGTTACATCACACTTCTCCCACGGTAATGAATTTTCACACTACTTTGAGGATAAGGGACAGTAATCCTCCAGTTCTGGGCCCAGCCATCAGTCTCCATGGAGACAAACACGTCTCTGCTTGAGTTTTCACCTGTGCCACCAACTCAAGTGCTAGTTCCCTAGGTACCCTGGTGCTGGGGACTTATGTCTCTTATGACTGGTGAAGCTGCAGAAGTGCTAATACCAATTTCCTAAGAGGAATTTTATTAGAAACCTAAGCGGCTCTTAGATGGGTGGGGAGCAGCTGCAGCCAAGAGCATGTTCTCCCACCACTGCAGGTCACAGTGGCCTACAGACCTGTCCCACAGTACTAGACTGTTGTAGCACAGTCTTCATCTGGCAACTTTCTAGAAGACCATTCTGAATGTGAAGCAAGTGCAGATTTTCAGTGTGTCTTGATGAGGGAGCATTATCTCAGTGCTACATAATGTAACCGGGCAGGTTGCTTTCTGGCTGGTCCACCAGAGTCTGCCATTACTAATCTGCCAGGCACACTACAAAGCTTATGGGTTTCTATTGTTTTTTTGTCAGACATTTGCAGCAGAGATGGGATGTTGGGTGCATGGAATTGGAGGCTTGATGCAGAAGTTATTGTCATTATGGTTGCTGGGCTTTATGCCCATCTGATAGGTGCCCTGTGAATCTGAAATACTGCACTGGGCTTAGGGTTACAGACAGGAGCTAAGAAAATGTATATTAGAAAATGAACATAAACCTTGTTCAGACTAAAATGGGGAAGGTGCAACTTATTTTAAATACATCTCCCCCACTGGGTCTGTCCTCGCTCCCAACAGCCAGTCTGCGACACACCCACCCAGAGCGTTCGTGGGCTCTCCAACAAATGGTCATCTTGTAATTTCACCTCCATCGAACACCTCCGGGCTGTGTCTACACTGGCATGAATTTCCAGAAATGCTTAAAACGGAATACTATTCTGTTTTCAGTTTTTCCGGAAAAGGAGCGTCTACATTGGCAGGCGGGTTTTTCCGGAAAAACCCGCCTGCCAATGTAGACGCTCCTTTTCCGGAAAAACTGAAAACAGAATAGTATTCCGTTTTAAGCATTTCTGGAAATTCATGCCAGTGTAGACACAGCCCCTGGCTACGTCTACACTGGCCCCTTTTCCGGAAGGGGCATGTAAATTTCACTAGTCGTCGTAGGGAAATCCGCGGGGGATTTAAATATCCCCCGCGGATTTCCCTACGACGACTAGTGAAATTTACATGCCCCTTCCGGAAAAGGGGCCAGTGTAGACGTAGCCAGGGGCTGTGTCTACACTGGCCCACTTATTCCGGAAAACCAGCCACTTTTCCGGAATAAGCTGCGAGCTGTCTACACTGGCCCTTTTCCGGAACAGTGTTCCTGAATAAGGACTTATGCCCGAGCGGGCGCAGAATAGTTTTTCCGGTCTAGCGGCTGATTTTGTACAGTAGAGCATCGTTGCTATTCCAGAAATTCAAGGGCCAGTGTAGACAGCTCGCAGCTTATTCCGGAAAAGTGGCTGGTTTTCCGGAATAAGTGGGCCAGTGTAGACACAGCCCCTGGCTACGTCTACACTGGCCCCTTTTCCGGAAGGGGCATGTAAATTTCACTAGTCGTCGTAGGGAAATCCGCGGGGGATTTAAATATCCCCCGCGGATTTCCCTACGACGACTAGTGAAATTTACATGCCCCTTCCGGAAAAGGGGCCAGTGTAGACGTAGCCCCTGTGTCTCCACTGTCCTGCTCCCACAACTTCCTCATCAGCTCTCCTGCATCTTGTCAAACCTACGGCTCTCACCTCTACTTCCTCCTCTCCCTCCCCACTCTGATGAGGACTTCTATTTTGACAGACAGAGCCCTTCCAACCACTTAGTCTCCTGGCCCTCGTTTGTTCTTTGATCCTAGGCTAACTGGTCCTCTGCCCAACAAGTCCTCTCCCTGCATCATGCCTTCGCTAGGTTCCCCATGAGATTTCTCAGTCACTAAAATAGCCTCTCTCCAGCACCTCCTTGAGCACTGCAAGCCCCTCTCCACTCTTGCACCACCCCTCGCTCACAAGCGGGGCCTGCTTCTTCTCTTCATGTTCCTGTGCCATTGAATGCCTCTGGAAAAGGACTGTGTGGACTACCTCCTCAAGCAAGGAAGATGGCCGTACTGGAGGGGGAGAAGATGAAGCTGTAATCAGCCCCACTTGAGTACCAAGCTGACATTTACTCTTGGATGGCTCACTCGTTCAGAACACGGCAGTCCCCTCTCTCTTGCTCACAGACTTAACTTTCCACTTCCCCTCCCCCCAAAACTCTGCACAATCCCACCATGGCCTAGATCTCATCTCTTTTTGTATTAGCCTCAGGCCCTTGCCGCTCCAGGGTTTGGAGGCCAACGTCATTGGTATTCATTTCCTCCTCTGCTCCCATCTCTGTGCCTTTTTCCATACTCCCTCTAGGCATGGAGCTGCCTCATTCCTGTACTGCCAGTCACTGTCCTCTCACCTTTCCAATTCCCTTAAAAGCCCACATATTCATTATTGGGAAAAAGAAAGACTTTCATGTTGCCCGCCTGCTTTCCTAGTGCATTGTTTCCTCCACTCTTCCCTTCTCCTCAGGCGTTGCCATTCTAGAAAGCCTGGTCTAGGAGGGAAGACTGAGAGAATTGGGTTTGTTTAGTCTGGGAAAGAGAAGACTGAGAGGAGACGTGGCATCAGCCTTCAGGTACCTAAAACACTGTTACAAGGAGGGAGAAAAATGGTTCTCCTTGGCCTCTGAGGATAGGACAAGAAACAACAGGCTTAAATTGCAGCAAGGGAGGTTTAGGTTGGAAATTAAGAAAAACTTCCTAACTGTCAGGGTGGCTAAACACTGGAATAAATTGTTAGGGATGTTGGAGATTTTTAAGAACAGGTTAGATAACATCTGTCAGGGATGGTTTAGATGGTGCTGGGTCCTGCCATGAGTGCCAGGGACCGGACTTGATGACCTCTCAATATTCTTTCCAGTTATATGATTCTGTGATTCCACAAGAGAGTGTCATAACATAAGGGCTGTGTCTACACTGCACCCCTTTTCCGGAAAAGGGATGCAGATTACTACTTGAAAGTAGGAATAAGAGATCCTCCGGAAAAGGGCTTATTTTCCGGAGAATCACGTCTAGACTGCCGCTTTTCTCCGGCTTATCCCCAACTCGGAAAAAAGCGGCAGCCATGTAAATGCAAATGCCGCGGGGGATATTTAAATCCCTTGCGGATTTTGCTATTCCAATGTGTGTAATCTGCATCCCTTTTCCGGAAAAGGGGTGCAGTGTAGACACAGCCAAGGTGTTCACCCTTCCCCACTTCATGGTGCAGTGTGCCACTCCCCTAATTCATCTTACCTGTGATAGAAGCAGGCACAGAGCCTCCACAGGCATAATCCTCTGGCTTTATGACAAATACAACAAAGAACTGCTCGCCTAGGAAGTCCTTCTTCTGCACAGAAACAAACAAGAGAGAACCTTGTGAAAAGTGAGGGGGGACAGGGTTGCAGAGCAGGAATCTCCTCTCCTGTGCAAATTAAAGGATTAAATGTAATTAGATACCTGGTCTAGAAAAGTTGCACTGATCTTACTTTAAAAAAAAAAAAAAAAAAAAAAAGTATCTTACACTAGATCGGTGGTTTTCAACCTTTGTTCATTTGCAGCTCCCCCCATACCTCAAATTATGAATAAAGGTGCAGATCCCTTTCAATAGACATACTCTGCAGACCTCTAAGGAGCCGCAGACCACAGGCGGAAAACTACTGCAAACCTCTAACTAAAGGCACACTTAGGTATGAGCCTCACTTGAGTGTAAACTTCCCTTAAAACACTTTTGCTTCAGTGAAGCTCAAACCAGTGTGTGTCTACATTAGGGGGTTTGCACTGGTGTAAGCAGGTCTGTTTTACATCAACTTAGTTACTCTGGTGTAACTTCTCTTATGTACATTTCTGCATTCATTTAACACTTTGCATTTTCAAAGTCCTTCACTAGCACCCATTAGTACAAGCAGAGCCAAGATTAAAACACAAGAGCCTGGGCTTCTAGACCTGTGCTCAGATCAGTCCACATCAGCCAGTCCCAAGCAAGAAGCCACCAGAAAGCGTACATTTATATATACCAGACATGTTCACATGGAGTACGAGAGTCACATTGGACTAAGGCCTGGTCTACACAACAGAGTTAAGCCAAATTAAAAGGCAGCTTACATCAACTTAGTTATGCCACTGTAGACATTACCGCCATGCTCCCACTGATGTAAATGCCCTACCACACTGACATACCTCCTCCTCCATGAGAGGCATAGGGCTTATGTCAGCCTAGGTAGGGTGGACGCTGTCTGGATAGACACTGCTGATTATTACTCACCTTGGTTGTTGTTCTGGTCAATTTCACAGCTCTCAGTTCCACTCTGCTTCTTGCCGGGAGCATGGCTGCTTACTGCCCCAGGCTCTCAGGTCCCTGCTAGGAGCCAGGTCTAGAGCCGAGAGTCCAGGTGGCTGCCCAATTCCCCCAGTTCCCATTGAGGAGTGGGGAGCCAGAAGAGGCAGCTGGGCTCTCAGATCCCCACACTGCCTTGCTTTAAGTCAGTGGAAGTGCTGCTGGTGGGGGCGTGCACCACTGACAGAAGTTGGTTCTCATGAACACTGCCAACCACCAGAGCTGTCCCAGCCATTGGATGCTTCAGGGCTGTCATTTGGATCCCAAGCTCGGGAACCCCTGCACTTCTGGGGATTTGGGGCCAGTAGCAGCATGAGCTGGTTCTGCTCTGCTCTGCCCTGGTATCCTTCAGAAGAGGAGAGGAGGGGTCAGAACTTGGGGGAAGGTGCAGAGTGGAGGCAGAGCAGGGGCAGAAAGAGGCTGGGTGGGGCCTGGAGCAGAGGAGGGGGGTTGTCCCGGGCCCCGAGCCTCCCTAGGGATGGCCTTGGCCATCCCAGTAATTAACAACATAGGTCAAACTAAGTTTGTAGTACATGGACAAGCCCCGAGTGTGCAGTTACACAAGGATGCTGGCACATCTCTGGGGTGTTACAAGGCAGGCAGTCAAATTGGCGAGTCAGGTGGGAAAACGGAAACCAGAATGATAAGCACATTTGTAAACCAAACAGCTGTCGGGAAGGAAGGACCAGCTGAGACAGGGCCGAACTAGGGTTGCAAACGTTCTACTTGCACAAAACCAAACACCCCTGCCCTGCTGCTTCTCCAAGGCCCTACCCCCGCTGCACCACTCCTGAGACCCCGCTCCTACTCACTCCTCTCTGCTGCGTCTCTCCTCCACCCAGCTGAGGCAGGGGGTTGTGGTATGGGAGAGGTTGAGAGCTCTCGGCTGGGACTTGGGTCGTAAGAGTGGACTCGCTCAGGGCTAAGGCAGGGGTTGGAGTGCAGGAGTGGGTGCAGGGCCCTGGCAGCACTTACTGCAGCTCACAGGAAGCAGCCACCAGGTCCCTGACCTGGAGCACCAGTATCCAACAAATGAATAATTAAGCAGCAAGGAGGTGGTAGGTCGGCAGAGTCACTGGAAATTAGCACCAACAAAATCAATGTCTCACCTGTACAGTGATGGCAGCTTGCTTGGTCATGGACTGGTAAACACCATTGAACTCCACGTTGTGGTCCAGATCATACACAGGGCACTAAAACAGGCAAAAGGAATTTTTTTTTAAATGAAAAATCCAACTGCATTTTCAGAACCAGGAGGAGCACAAACTTGCTTCCCCCCTTCCCCCTAATAGGGTTCATGTGAAGAAAACTCCCTTAAGAAAAATAAATTCCTTTGGGCCTTTGAGTTGGCTTTGTCATCTTCCCCTCCCCTCCCTACTAGGGCTTCATGAAGAGCACTGCAGGAGCCCTGACTGGAGTCAAGGGTTGCCAGCTGTCCGGTTTTGAACCGGACAGTCCGGTATTTGAGGTTTCTGTCTGGGAAACAAACTGAGAAAATACCAGACGTAGAAATGTCCAGTATTTTCTAATTAAGTTTTATTATTATCGTGAGTATCAGCACGTAGTTGTGTACTGCCTGGCTGGTAGACACGCTCATACTGCGTGAGTCACACTGCGTGAGCGTGTCTATCAGCCAGGCAGTACGCAGCTACGCAGTGGGGGGTGGGGGCAGGGTGGAATC